GATGAGTTTGGCATCAAGACAGTCCTTAGGCTGTGAACCTCATTATTGCTATACTCACAAGAGCTGACCAACATGACCAGGCAGAGTATTAGTCACAGCAAACACATCTAGTCAGAGAATCAGGCAGAAAGTCAAGGCAACCATTAGAAAGAGAAAGGAATCCAGAATCAAGGCAACCAAACAAAATTGTAGTCAGAGGTCAACACAGAGCTAGAGATTAAAAACACATACCAGAGACAAGCCATGTTGTAATCAAGCTAGCAGATCAGAGAAAAACACTTCCAAACAGAGACTGACAGACCTTTATTCCAGTACTATATCAGTGCACGGATCTAGATTCAAAGCAGCTCTAAACAATATCCTTATTCTTCAAAAATAATCCATACATATCCACTTCTTAATGTCTCTGTAATCTATTTTTCATGAAAATGTTTCTTACTGTGTTTTTCTACCTCCTTGTAATGTCCACTGTGAGCTCCTAAACCTCTTGTTCTTCCATTCACTTCCATTTGTTTGTAACAAGCAGTGCAAGTCAGTTGTACTCATGTGGATTGCTCTATGAATATGATAAATCGCATAGTCATTGGTCCATCTTAGGAGCAAGAAAGAGGGTAGCTACATTCTTACATACAGCAGGACCATGGAGAATAGATGCAGCCACCCTCTAACAGGAAGTCAGATTATTTTGTTGTATAGTAAAAAGGTTGATGAATGACAAAGATCTTGATGTCCCTGTTCCAGTGTTAAAAACATACCAAGCAGTGTACAGTTGAAATGCTCACAAGCTCTGTTTCCCTGAGGGTGATAGAGAGTGGTGTGCGACTTACGGATTCCACTTAATCGACACAGTTCTGAGAACACTTGGGACTCAAAGTTAAGACCCTGATCCAACAAGACTCACTTTGGGAAACCATGCGGTTGTACTACACGAGTCCAGAACATTTTAGCCATGAGGACTGCTGTTTGATAATGGGTACAAATCACTATAGCAAACATAGTGAAATGGTCTACAAACACCAGGGCATAACAGAACCCAGACATTGTCTCATCTTCCACCAGAAAGAAGGTACTGGTATGTTGCAGTATCTCTTACTAATGGGGACTGTATCCTAAGTATGTATAGGATGATAGAGAACAGTAATACACCTGTAATCCTCAGGCCTGCCCACACACACAGGCACATGCTTCTTTAAGAGTTGGTGGAAGAACTTTTGTTGTTGCAGTGTGAACCCATGTACAGGAAGAGTAAGTTGGTGTAACAGTTGTTAACATAGAGAGTCCTCTAGAGCAGTCATGGCAGCTTTCAGGGAGGCAAAAGCAGCCTCCACCCCAGAGCAGGACCTTGACACACTTCTTTGGAAACCATATACACATCAGCAATAAGCTCTGTTGTTTACTGGATAGTTGTGGTCCCCAGGTTGACCATCTGGACAAGTTTTTTACCTTGGTGCACTTTGAACAGAGTTATATCCATCAGCCATTCACCCTTTACTTCCAGATCCTTTCTGGGCAGTACCATGATAGTAGATTATTTCAAGCCCCCAAAAAGAAATTGACAAATCGCTTTTTGTCTTGGTGAAATTTGTAGTCTATGGCAAGGGAGTTACTGTCGTATGCCCACCTTTTCAAGCTGACATTTGTCCTTCCAGTGCTGAACTTGAATAGATATCCAGAGGACTCCCTCCACTGGGGTAGGAAGATTGCTAGTGGCTTTCAGGTTCAGTCCGGAGGGATCCAAAGTTGAACCTGCCCCAAACTGTTGGTGATAGAAACCATAGTCCATAGTGGTCACTTCAGATCTGGTGTCCACTATCCATTGGACTTGGTTCTAGTTCAGCAATGCTGAGACCATGAGACCATAGGGCTTGAAGATATAATTTTGGAGTCAAGACTGGAAATTATTGAGGTAGTTACTGTAGGTCATCCCCCTGCCCTGGGAACTCCTAGATTAACAGCCTATGTGAGAAAACTCGACTCTCCTCCTAGGTGCAGTTCCTCGCAATATGTCCCCTCTGTCCACACTGCCAGCACCAGCAATACATATCAGGGTACCACCTCAGAGGATTTATGGCCAATAGAGACTGACCCTTCTCCCACTTGACAACTGAGACCTTTTGACGGAGAGATGCAATAGGCTTATTCAGGTCTCTCATGGCAGTCTTTAATCTGGAAAGAAGAGAAGAGGCAGCAGCTTCTTCTCTCAGTAATAGCCATCTTCCTTCTCCACTACTTCCACACTGCTTCCAATAATATAACTTTAAATGGCACTGCAGCATCTGCTCTCCCCCCCCCCCCCCCCCCCCCCTGTAAGGCCCTTTTAAGGGGACTGGCAGTGATTCCTATAATAAATTGATCTAATTTTTTTTCAGGAGCACCTACAGCAGTGGAGCCCAGATGGTCTATTTCCACCAAACACTTCCACAACTTCTGCATGGCCACTACAAATCGAGTAATAGGATCACCTTCTTGCTGTTTTAGGAGGAACTTCCAGTACAGCTTGGCCATGAAAGTGATTTCTCCATAAAGGCTCTCCAGCCGCATCATTATCTGTGCAAGGGTGGACTTTTCTGTGTTTGCCAACGCTAACATGACCCCCCTAGCATCCTCTTCCAAGAAGTTGATAGCTAAGTTAAGCTAGCCATACACGGATATAAATTTAGCCTGTTCAACAGGGACCAGACAAATTTTGATCCATGTATGGACACTGAGGTTGTAGTGAAGTCTCCCCATTGCCAGAATACAATAGCTCAGTGGAAGGATTCTACAATCAAATGTGTGGATGGTTGAATCAAGTCATTTTTTTTCATTCAGCTCACTGGATGAAAAAAAACTGACTCTTGCATGGACAATCTTAGGGAGGAGCTTAGCTAGTACTTGGAACAGGCAGGCTGCACTTCATAATCTTTCCACCAAATTGGCCAGTAGGATGTTTGTGCAAAAGCAGCTACCATGGTGGTAATGGGGCCCTCGTCTTGTTAACAGGATGAGCTTTCCATATTCTGCCGGTTACACTAAATGTAGTCAGGGCCTGGGCCAGGGTACCTGATCAGGAAAAAAACACACAGTTTCTGAGGTTATGGTTGTCCTAATGTTATAGCTCACCTACCACTCACTCCAGTGAAGCCCAAATAAATACTCTATTTTATAGGCTCTCACACCAAGATGGCCACCAATGGTCACCAGATGTTGCAAAGTCTAATCAGACAGCTGATTTCTGGACACCAATGGAGTCCATGAGGGCACAATTGCCCTAACACACTCTGCTCCATCTGTATAGAGAGCACAGTGCCACCAACAAAAGTTGAAACCTAAACCTGCTTACAAGCATTTTTTCTTGCACATGATTGGATAATGGAAGTCATCAATGCTTCACCGAATTCACTAAGCTTTAAAAATTATTGCACATGTTTCCAGTCAGGGATTTATAGGTAGTGCATTTATGATCAGAACAACAGCCTTGTTGCTTGCACCTTTCAAACAAATCTAACAGCAGCTCACGTGATTCCATCCTCATACGTTTTCTTAAACTCTCTAAATTTTCTATATTTTATTCCTATCTTTGGTACAGATAACTGCCTTTTGCTTTAATTCTTTTTCCTTATGGATTATGGCCAGTGTAGCATTTGCTTTATTACCCAAACATTTTACATTTTCACTTAAGTTAACCGTTTAACATCCATTAAAGCATCATGAATAAAAGAGAATTTTAAATATTTTTCCTGACACGGTAGCTGTCAGATTCACTGACAAACATACTGTTTCTATAGGCACATCATCATCAGTTAAAGCTAAACTCTAGGCAGATATAATAGATACAACTTCTATTTTTAAATGTATGCATATGTGCATAACAAATGTGCATAACTGAATTTGACCTGATTTCAGTCTCTTGCATCCCCATATAGCAAGGCTGAAATGTGAAAGAAAGAAACCATACATGGATCCAATCAGTTTACGTGCTGACAGGAAGCATGCTGATAGAAGGAGAAAGCAAGGTGACAGAAAAATAAGATCATCGCTGTGCTGCTTCTCATTTTAGTACTGTTCAGTACTAGGCTAGGGAGGGTCCAGGATGACTTAGAAGCGGGTTGAATGATGCTGGCAATGAAACTGAGGACATCTAGCAGAAGAATGTATTGTGTGGAAATCTCTTTATTAAGGCTTGGTGCTTACTTGTTCTTTCTCTAAAATTTATCCATTATCAGGCAATCATGTAGTCTCCTAAAAGCCATTTTTTTTTTGTTTATTTATTTTTTCTAAATGGTCATTTTCAATGGGATCAAAGCACCACAGCCACTGAAAGCCAAACATTTGTTTCATGGTTACAATCTGGCTCGCTTGAATGTGTGAGTTTGATAGGCGGTGCTGCCTGTTAACTTAACATGATACATTAATTTTGCCCATCTCTCTCTGGTAGATTTCAGGTGGGGGGTACATAACATCTCAGCTCAACCATCTGTTTGTACCATCCCTGGCCTAAGAGTTAAGACTGAATATTTTAGAAACCCCTGAAGTTGTTATATCTTTTAATTAGCTATTAATTCACTTTTATCTTGACTGTCTGACTTTTTTTGTGGGGGATCTGTATCATATAAAATTAACTGCCTGTGTATATATACACTATATTGCCAAAAGTATTGGGACACCTGCCTTTAGACGCACACGAACTTTAATGGTATCCAGACTTAGTCCGTAGGATTCAATATTGAGTTGGCCCACCCTTTGCAACATTACCAGCTTCAACTCTTCCGGGAAGGCTATCTACAAGGTTTAGGAGTGTGTCTATGGGAATGTTTGACCATTCTTCCAAAAGCGCATTTGTGAAGTCAGGCACTGATGTCGGACGGCAAGGCCTGGCCCACAGTCCCTGCTCTAATTCACCCAAAAGGTGTTCTGTTGGGTTGAGGTCAGGACTCTGTTGGGTTGAGGTCAGGTGCAGGTCTGTTAGGTTCCTCCACCCCAAACTTATTCATCCATGTCTTTATGGACCTTGCTTTGTGCACTGGTGCACAATCATATTGGAACAGGAAGGAGCCATCCCCAAATTGTCCAAAATGTCTTGGTATGCTGACACCTTCACTGGAACTAAGAGGCCAAGCCCAACCCCTGAAAAACAACCTCACACTATAATCCCCCTTCCACCAAACTTTACACTTGGCACAATGCAGTCAGACAAGTACTGTTCTCCTGGCAACCACCAACCCAGACACATCCATCAGATTGCCAGACAGAGAAGTCACTCCAGAGAACACATTTCCACTGCTCTAGAGTCCAGTGGCGATGTACTTTACACCACTGCATCTGACGCTTTGCATTGCACTTGGTGATGTAAGGCTTGGATGCAGCTGCTTGACCATGGAAACCCATTCCATGAAGCTCTCTACGCACTGTTGTTGTGCTAATCTGAAGGCCACACAAAGTTTGGAGGTCTTTAGCTATTGACTCTGCAGACAGCTAGTGACTTCTGCTGTGCGCTTCAGCATGTGCTGACCCTGCTCTGTCATTTTATGTGGCCTACCACTTTGTGGCTGAGTTGCTGTTGTTCCCAGTTACTTCCACGTTGTTGTAATACAACTAACAGTTGACCCTAGAATATATAGTAACAAGGAAATTTCATAGATGTACTTATTGGACAGTTGGCAGACTATAACCGCACCAGGCTTAAATTCACTGAGCTCCTGAGAGCGACCCATTCTTTCACAAATGTTTGTAGAAGCAGTCTGCATGGCTAGAGGCTTGGTGTATACACCTATGGCCATGGAGGTGATTGGAACACCTGAATCCAATGATTTGGAGGGGTGTCCCAATATTTTTGGAAATATAGTGTGTATACATATACACGCGCACACGCATATACATCCTTTTCACAAAGTAACCAATCTCACTTCAAAAAAATTATATTTTGCTGTTCCAGTAAAATTAGTTTTATAGTAGTAATAGTAGTTTACAAGAAAATTGAACAGTAGAGGAGTTTCTGTGTCTCCAGATCCCCAATTATCAGCATTTCTGCTGACAGATACAGATGGACATCCTAGCTGACATGAATGCTCCTTGATGGATGTGCTCTTGTGTCCTCGGATCTTCAATTACAACAAGTAATGTGGGACAATAATAGGGAAGGCAGCAAGCTGACATAAGAAATGATGGAAAGGGTTTCAGCAATGACAGTGCCAGTGGCCATGTCACATTGACAAACATGTAAATGTATTACAAAATAAAATTAGTTTTATAAGCGTTTAATAATGCTCAACCCTGAGTAAAATAGTAGCTTAAAGGGAAGAGCTACAGTATAAGTAAATAGTACCTTACAGAAAGATGCAGTCACAGTCTAATAGATAAGAGTACAAATAAAATATCAGTAACGTGTACTAAAGAGGAATCTTCTTTGCAGGACCTTAATTTATTTAGATGCAGTTGCAGACCTCACCTTCAACTACTGTTAATGAATATCAATCACAGTATTACGGCACAGCCATATAATACAGTACTTATAAGGAGTATTCACCCCCTCTCCTTTTATGCTTAATAGACCATTAAGACACTTATGGGCTGAAGTGGATAAATTTTTGGGATACCTTCTCCTCCTAAATAGTTGTGAAAGCTATTCTGGAAAACCTGTTTCCTCGTATGATAAATTTACCCCAGACAGTCTTACATTAAGTCTATTGAGGAGATTTCCCCTTTACTTTGATGAAAATAATACACACTACTGCAGTATGACAATTCCTTGTGATATTAAAGTTCATCTGTGCTCTTCATAAGTGATTGTGCTCCTGCATTGAAAGTTTGGTAGTTGGATTTATCTTTCATTTCTCATGCTCTGGCCTGAGGAAGGTTTTAACAGTTCAAGTCCCTAAAGGTTTAAAAAAAGGTTTAAAAACTTACTGATATACACTATATTGCCAAAAGTATTGGGACACCCCCTCCAAATCATTGGATTCCGGTGTTCCAATAACCTCCATGGCCACAGGTGTATAAAATCAAGCACCTAGGCATGCAGACTGCTTCTACAAACATTTGTGAAAGAATGGGTCGCTCTCAGGAGCTCAGTGAATTCAAGCGTGGTACCCTGATAGGTTGCCACCTGTGCAATAAGTCCATCTGTGAAATTTCCTTGCTACTAAATATTCCACGGTCAACTGTTAGTGATATTATAACAAGGTGGAAGCAACTGAGAACAACAGCAACTCAGCCACAAAGTGGTAGGCCACATAAAATGACAGAGCGGGGTCAGCGCATACTGAAGTACACAGTGCACAGATGTCGCCAATTGTCTGCAGAGTCAATAGCTAAAGACTTCCAAACTTCATTGGCCTTCAGATTAGCACAACAACAGTGCATAGACAGCTTCATGGAATGTGTTTCCAAGGCTGAGCAGCTGCATCCAAGCCTTACATTACCAAGTGCAATGCAAAGCGTCATATGCAGTGGTGTAAAGCACACCGCCACTGGACAGTAGAGATGTGTTCTCTGGAGTGACAAATCAGGCTTCTCTGTCTGGCACCACAACTCCCTGACCTCAACCCAATAGAACACCTTTGGGATGAATTAGAGCGGAGACTGCGAGCCTGGCCTTCTCATCCCACATTAGTGCCTGACCTCACAAATATGCTTCTGGAGGAATGGTCAAACATTCCCATAGACACACTCCTAAACCTTGTGGACAGCCTTCCCAGAAGAGTGGAAGCTGTTAATGTTGCAAAGGGTGGGCCAACTGAATATTGAACCCTACGGTCTAAGACTGGGATGCCATTGAAGTCCATATCTCCTGATGAAGCAGACCTAGCTGTCTGAGAAAGGCATTGAGTTACATTCATTCTACTGCATACTCTGCACTACAACATGGCATATATAGCACCATGTTTGTATTGACAAACTTACCTTGTTAATGTATATAATAAGTAAGGCAGTAGTGTATGGAGTAGAGGTTCTAGTAATATTTTTATAATACATATTCCATCAAAAGTATTTCTTTTAATATGATATTAAGATAGGGTACACAGATACCTGTACTATGGAGTAACTCCAACACCTTTGGTCACTCACATTCTCTACAGAAATAAGGACTGAACACATGTTTAGTCTTTTCTGTCTTGACATCAATAATTCTGTACTGTGAAAGTCCAAACTTAACATAGGATGGCCACTCAACTGGCACCTGTTCTGGGCCTATACCAAAGTGTTTACTTTTTTAGACTACATGCTTACATTACAGTATAATAGAAGAAGCCTTTTTCCATCATTCTCAGCCCTAGCTCTGTCGGTTAAAATGAGTAAAGACTAAGCTAGCCGAACCACTAAATCCGCTCGGGGACGGGGGGAGAGGGACATCTTCCTGAAAGTGGTGCTAACCAGTGAGCACATGTGCAAGCCACAGTAAGAATGACACCATCAGTAATCCTTCTTTTGGCCCCATGTTCACTTTATGCTTTGTGTAATCATTGCCAGTTGTATCTGATCTGCAGAGAATCACATTTCAGAAACTCAATATGCAATGATACATTCAAATGAATAAACATCTTTTGAGATTGGTCTAATTTACAAATCAATTAGTTCACCACTAGTCAACATAAGCATTAGAGGGCACGACACAAACACATGGTTTATGAGACTTGTGCAGACACTGTACATACAATTAGGCCCAAATCACCAGCATGTAGCCTCACAACATTGTGGGCCCAGTAACTCTGCTTAAGAACACCCATACACCAGCCTTACTACCTAGGAAGTGGATTTCGCAAAAGGGCTGCCATAATCTTCTTAATGGAATGTGGCTTTTTTTAAATATAGATGTCTAACTTTAATGGCAATGCAACTCACTTCTCCAGTTACTGTCACGCAGCCTGGAGATTTGTAATAGCTCATATTAAACCCATTGTTTGATTTTATTAAGCTGGAAGGTATAATGGTTTCAACTTTTCTCTAAATACAGTCCCCAGGGCTTGGAATAATCTAATATACATTCAATATTTAGGATACATTTGTTCTGATGAAAAATTGATATCTTCAGTTGATTTGCAGTTTGTATATTTTTAGATCAGACATCAAGCTGAGTTTTCTTCAACTGTTCAAACTAATGAATAGATGGCACAGACACAGTTTAAACTCTTGGTGCATCATCTAACAACAGCCTCTGACATTAAATATGGAGATAGACTGGTTATCATGTTAAAAAGATAACATAAGATAAAACATGCAGCAACACAAATCTAAAATGTGTATCTTTAGAACAGAAGATTAAAGTGGCAATAAAGTCTGTTTTTTCACTTGTTCCTACAGGAAAGCATATAATAAGGCTTATGTGCAGTAAATATCTCCTAAACATGCACCGCTTAGGAGATATTTGCTTGTAAATGAGCACCGATGCATACACTCTGAAGGAACAGCATGCCTGGGCCGCACGCATGCGTGAGAGTGACACCATCGCATCGCCATTCAAGCCGTTAGAGCCCGTGAACCTGGAAGGACCGGGTGAAGATGGAAGCTTTGTTAGCGGCGACATCACTGGAGGGCTTTGTTTTAAGGCAATGCATACTAACACATTATACCATTGTCTTGCAGGTTTTTTTTTTTTAAAGGTCATGGTTTACTACCACTTTAAGCACATTTATAAATGTATTCTTATACATTTTTAATTGAGGAGATGACATTACATTATATCTCAGTTGATACTGTGCCGACAGTTAAAATTAAAGCTGGATCCACACAGGCTGTAAAAGACAAAATTTGACAAGCAGTCCCTGCAAAGCTTCTTAAGAAGCAGAGAGGTTAATTTACTAAAAAGAATTAGGCTGTTCACTTAGCAAGGGAAGTTGCACTTTGTATTGGAATTTTCCCCAAAGCTTAGTGAATGTGGTGAAATACCCAATCACGTGCAAGGATAATAAACAACATTTAGCAGGGCCCTCTGATCCCTTCTGTATTATTTTGTATTGTAATTGCACTGTCTGCCCTTATGCTGTAAAGCGCTGCATAAACTGTTGACACTATATAAGTCCTGTATTATAATAATAATTTTGCTAACATATGAAAGGGTAATAGAAGTCAGCAGATCTTCACCCCATTCACTAAGCTCTGGGCAAAATTCCATGCAAATTGTAACTTCCTTTGCATATTGAACAGCCTATTTGCCTTTAGTGTAGTCCAAAGAGAAAGCAAGAAGTGGTGCAGTAACAAAGTCTGCAGAAGTACACAGCTAGAAAAGTCTTTATCTTTCTCCTGCACAAACGGGGGGGGGGGGGGATTATCACAATAGTATTTGCATTACTACACATTTCTGCATGGTTTAATTAATTTCTGTATATGTGTTTTAACAGTGGGTACAGACTTTTCACCCTTTACCCATTAAAGCTCTGGTTTCCAAATTGTATCCCTTTGACAGTTACAGTGTGGCATTCAGGGTCCACGCAGACAGTAGTCTCCAATTCTGTTACATAGGTGCTTACTCAATACAGTAAATGAAGATAGTTCTTTACTTTGCGTTCCAGTTGTTTATTGCTTTGGTTTATTTCTTTCACACTATCTTTTTCTGTGCCATCCATTCTTTTTTACTCTTTTAATGTTTTTTTCCCTCTGATCTTTAATAATGGATCTTGGAGATAGAAATATCAAATGTAAGTTTTAATGAGATCATATGGAGCTGAAGCACAAATGCGATCTCACACTTATGAAACATGTTTCTAGGACATCCTTTCTCAAGCATTTTCCCAGAGGAACCCTTAAATAT